ATACTTTTTTTCAATTTCTAAATAAAAACCTGGTGTGTAGTCAGGTGTAATTCTATATTACTACAGATAAAGATTTCGCATCAACTATCGCGAACTGTGTCTCAGTTTGTTTGTTTTTGTGTTTTTCTTTATGGTAATACTGTGATCTCAAAATATTAGGATCAAGAAAGAATTCGTACGACAGTGCGCAAGAAATATTACTTAAAGCCATCTAAAGCTAAGTTATTCAATGGCGAACTTTCTGAAAAAGTTTCCGTGCATAAAGGCCGTTTTTGTGCCATCGCATAATTTATTTCGCCGAGTTTTAGTGGGATTCGATAAAGACATCGTCAATATTTCTTTTGGGGGTGTGGAATATTATGATTGAGTTTTATAATTTCATAGTAAGTATATAATTACTTAAGTGAACACGGAACCTGTAGGGGTCTGAAACGTCAAGAAAACAAGCATAAACGCGCTGAAATCGTTTGAAGTAGTTCCATTTAATGAGAAGTGCGCTTGAAAATACAAAAAAAAAAACAGTAAATAATTATAATCTATAAGTGAGCGATAACATTGGCACTCGTAAAACCAGATGTTACGAGTATATACGACGACAATACGAATACGAGTTAGTTATCTCGAATAAAACCAAAATAGTTTATTTAGTCTCGGCTATCAATAAAAATTAAATATAATATTAATAATAAATATCAGATATCAAAGTACGAAGGCAACAATAATATTTAGATGTAAAATTTTTGGAGTATCCCAGCTAAACAAATTTTAATAAACAAAAATACTTATTTCTGAATATCATATAACAGTTTCTAATATAATAAATGGCAACTGTAATAACTGCTGTTTGAAAGCTTAAATATAAGAGAGTAATAAATTGTAACTCAGTAGAGAAGTCGTACGGCACGGTCTTGATCCGGCGATCCAGACCGGATCGTGAAAGTTTATTTATGATTTTCTTTATGGCAACAATAAACAACGGCATTGCGCGATATGAACTGAGTCTGCGAATGTTAGTTCTTTTTTTATCTTGTTCGATTGATACATATAAGGGAAACTTGGATAACAATCAAATGTAACTTGAGAAAAATGACCAACAAAAATAACCGGTAAAAAGATGCACATTAATTTATGTATAATAATATAAGATTTTGTTTATTTGTCATAGTTAAACTCAAGAACAACTACAACGATTTTTGATTTTTTTACCTGTAAGCTATTCTTATTATTAATTTGTTTATTAACCATAAGCGGCATGAAGTCGGCGGCAACCATGATTTTATAAGATTTAATTTGATTAATTGTTTAAAAAAATAGAAAAAATATTATATTATAAAAAAACCCTTAAAATAAAATAACTTAAATAAAACGGCAGATAAAAAGATTAATGAAGAAAAAATTAATAAAGTCGTATTAGTAAATCACTAGCACACCACTAGTTGTCGTGTTAGTAAGTATATTATATCAATTTTATTTTTATAAATAATTCGGCTTATCGAATGCCGCAAGTACCTAAAGTCATACATTTTTTAATGCAGTAATAATAAGGTTTACAGCAGCCTGAAAGTAAAATTCAACATTCAACGCTAAAATACGATATTTTATAAAAGAAAAAAATAAAGTCTGCAATTTCACTTGTATTCTAATGGATTTAAACAAGATTCTAAAATTCCATAACATTTTACTAACGAACTCGTCAACATTTGATACGATAACTTAATGTTTGATATATATAAGTGTAGGCAATAACACATCATTATATAATAGTTACAGTAGCATGCGTCTGTAAGTTTACGGAAATGTAAGTACATTAGTTTGCGTAACCATTTTCGGTATAATCAAAAACTGGAAGCCAACACGATATCAGTTGACGGTATTGTAATCGACAAAAGACTTAGGTGTGCTGAAAATACTTAAGTTTCAACTAATTAAGTTAACTTCACTCCGGTAATAAGACACATTCACTTGGACGGTAACGCAAAAACTTTCACAAATAAAATCTATTTAGGAAATGTAGATTTACATTCTACAATTCATTCACTAAGTCTTAAGGAATATGAAAGAAAGTAAAACCTATATGACACACTAGTGACCCGATACGGATTCGCGCGGGCACATACGGATCTCTACCTTTTTTTTATTCTATAGCCTATGTTCTTAAGGAACAATGTAAGATAAAATATTTTTTTCAAATCGCTCCAGTATTTTCCAAGTCTATTCAATGCAAACAAATAACATGTATTAATCCTTCTTCTTTATAATATTATAATATCAATGTTGTTCTTTGTGAATATTAGTGAATATCAAAAAGGTTTCTCGACGATATGTAGATGGGCCTACCCACTAAAAAACTCATCGAATATCCTTCCTACAGTAATGAGGTCCGATACCCTAAACATACTCTTCAGTGCGGGCAGACAAATAGGAGAGAGAGGTCAGCATTGCGTTGGAACACAATAGTGTCGCAAGACGAGCACGCCTGAACGATCCACAGCCACTGCTAGAAAGCGGAGCAGACCTTAAGGTATATGAGGTTTTTGCAGAATGTAGACATTATTAATTTCAGCGGTTACTAAATAGAAACTGAACTGCAACAATAACATTTTTAGTGCGGCGTTTTGATGACAGTTTGGAATTATATAATATCATCGACGGTACCTTCTACTACACGTGCGCACTCTAGAAGCATTGCACATGTTATCAGTTCAGTCGATATATACCTCTATGATACAGGGTTTCTTAATTACAATGAAATCGTTCTAACGTAAAATACTTATAATATAAGCTACACAGCGACTTCTCCGCACAGATTTTCAAAAATTTATTTGACGACAGATGCCCGCTCTTATGGAGCTACTTTACTGTTATATTTCAAGACTACAAACTTTACAGTTTTTAAAATAAATAACATGATTATCTATAGGAAGTCATCAACGCTTTTCCCATTTATTAACAACAGTGATTAAGGGCAAACTCAAAATCATAATTCTTTATTATCATTTATTAGCACCCGCAAAATAAATATAAATTACTATTATTTTACGATCTAGATATACCTACAATTTTATATACGACACCTGTAACAAGGGTTGCCAGATGGTCGGGATTTGTCTGGATTGTCTAGACATTTCGTATGATGTCCAGAGTCCCGAAAAAAACAAATATGTCCAGACAAAAATTGTTAGATTTGGTAAAATCGAAATACAAGTATAAAAAAATAAAATAACACACATATCATAAAAAATATAATCAGTAGATATATTAGCTGTTAAAATGTTATACTATTATTATGTGATCTTATAAATTGACAAAAAAGTAGATACTTGTAAATTTTTAAATTTAATTAATTAAAAGTGGATTTTTTTTAGCTTTTTTTGTCCCGACTGTGATCCCAAAATCCCGACTTTATCATAGTTTGGCTAGATATTTTAGTCTCGCTATCTGGCAACCCTACCTGTAACCCATTATCAAATGTACCATTGGTCGGATCTTCTGTAGATGTAGACACGGGGTCTACCACCGTACAGCGTCACCCCGACAAGGGGTGAACAATATAAAGTAACAAGTTTGGACGTGACAAATGTCGCCGGAGTTACACCCACAAGTTCGGTAATACATTGGATGTAGGTCGAACGAGACGCGCACACCGCCCGGCCCCCGCCCCACCCCGCCCTCCTCACGTAATCATCATCAAACTTTTTTCGAATCTTTTTCGGCAAACCATACATCTTCGATTATAATTATTTTAAAAGATTCCTTTGAACTATTAGAAATATTTATTTATTAATTACTTTTGAATATCGATGATGACATCCTAAACGTTTTTTATTTACATCAAAATTATTACACCAATAAAAGAAACCTGTCAATGATATAGTAAGCGTCAGGTGGTGTATACTTATACTAATTAGTGGTTCCATCTTGGCGTTTATAGACAATCGTTTTTGTTACAGTGGAATATATTCAATTTCATTTTATAGTAACTGAAACGCAAACAAAATATAACCTTTTGACACATTCAGTTTCACAATCGATTTGAATTTGAGAGAAATTTAACATTTTTGAATGTTCCTAAACTGTATTTAAAATATAAGAACGCCTCTTTAGAACTTATTCGCTTCATTGAATAATATGGTTTAGTTGTGAACCGACAAATAAAACAGTCTACCCACTTAAGGGCACATTAGAATCGAATTAAAATAAATCATCGCGGTATACGCGCCCGGAGCTTACACGAGGTACGTGTATAGTGGGAGGGATGCGAGGACCCGTCGCGGTGGGGACCCGGGAACCTAATGGTGAACCGATAATGTACGATGTACTGATGGATTTCAGACGTAGTTAACTACGATTATATTGTTATGGCGATATAGTGCTCTTATTTGTATGACTTCTTATATTCTTCTACACAAAAAAAAATGGCAGCAGGATTAAAACTTATCGTAAATACGAAAATTACTGTGACTGTTTGTTTGTCTGTTACTGTTCCCATTTAAGCCGCCAGGTGATTCAGTTTATCGTTAGAATACTATGTAAAGTACACAGGATAATTTTTATGTCAGAAATCATGCTAAAAATGAAAGATGAATGTGAAGCAGAAGTTTTGTGGAAAATCAATCACGTAAATGGCAGTATTTATTCAGATAAAAATAAATATTTTTTTATACTATAAATTAAAGGGAAACGTAATATAGACGTTTATGGGAAACGTAAAATCAACTTCAAAAAATGTAAACGCGGTTCATGTTCCCGTTAACTTGTACAGCGGGCGGTCGCGCGGAGGTTTTGTGTACGTTATTAATATTAAACTCGACTTCGATAAAGATTGCTTGGACATATGAACCGCTTTACAGATAACAATAAGTAAGTTTCATTAAAGAAAGATACCTCAGGACAATTATTTATTGAATATATTAAAAATGGTGCGATACAACGTATATATGTATCGGATCTGTCTCAAGTTGCCATATTACTTATACAAGTTTACTTAATGTTAAACATACCTTATCAAAAATTAACAACGCCGGCTCGTCGATACAACTGTGAACAAAAATTATAATTTCATTAATGAGCATATAATTAATCACGATTTCACAAAAATCAATTACATTTTTTCACTCTCCATATATTTTTATTAAATTCGGTTGATATACATTTTTTTATAATTTACTAGCTGTTTCCCGCGACATCACCGTACGGTGAGCGAATTGTTATAATCGGTCCAGTAGTTGCGTAGCCTATTCAATGCAAACAAAGAAACAATCAAATCTTTCTTCTTTATAATTATAGTCAGCTCTTATTTCGTCCCCACTGTAGGAGCTCAAGCCTTTCTCAGGCGCTGGTTTCTTTGGCCCGCCGCACGCAACCGACGACGTGTGGAGACGCGTCGGCGTGTGGGTTCTCTGGAAGCCACTAACAGTCACGATTGTAAACGCTGATGTGAATTGAGAAACCGAAATTGTGTAATTTGCAATATAAAATTAAGGTTGAAATAGATAAATTAAAGCCACGACTGGCGAGTTGCCACTCGTGCCGTGAACTCCTATAACTTCGATAATTTTGTAAGTGTGTGCATGCGACGACGCATACGCACGGGCGCGTTCACATACAAACCAATTTCAGTGCGTATTTATAAAGAGCACATACTCTTTTTACTCTGCCATAACCCTCCACGATGGCCCAGCGAGTATTGGAGCGTATTGACGACTGCAAATGCAACCGGGACCAATGATATAACGTGCCTTCCGAAGCCCGAAGTAGCTCAAGATAATAATTTTTCGGTCACCCATTCCGTGTCCCTAGCGATTTGTAGTATTAACATAAATTACAAGGAAGATTATAAACAAAAATGTAATTATATATATACCTCCATATATAACATAAGGAAACATGAAAGAAAAACACTAAGCGCTTCTCTCGTATGTGCGTAGGTGTGTTTTACTCCAGGTGTATGTATGTACAATACGATATTGCGAGGAAAGAAGATTATTGTTCTCCAGAAAAGCGATGTAAATATCAAACGAGCCGCCGCCGCGTGATGCAACCTTGACACTGACGTGACGTGACATCCCTGGGGTGTGCGTAATTAAAAAAAATACCCCGTTGTCGTTTTTTTATTTTTGTTACAGCATTTTTATATCATCGTTTTGTTTTTATATTTAGGTACATTGTGAAAGTTGACCTTTTAAAAGCTTTTCTAAATGCTACTCGTTTTTAACTTTCGACGCTGTTTGATGCTACTAGATATATTATGTAAGTACATAATTTTCTAATATCTAAACGTCATCAAATAGTACTAAACAAATGCTGAACTTTCGACCGTCTACTCTCAACCATAAGGAAGACTTTAGCTTACAGGTGTTTATCTGTAGCAGTATGATTGATCCTCGGCTCGAGCATCAATCAAGTATGGTTTTCCCTTGTGCAAAATGATCTCATAGATATAGAAGCTACATCTATGACGGGAACACTGCTTGCCATATAGTGCTATATTTCATAGACACCGAAAGAAAAATAGTCAACTAAAAACATTGAGGTTCAGATTTCATTCAGTTTATATTCCCACAAATTATTAAAATCAAAGATGACATGAAATGTACTGAGAAGCATCAACACGAACTTCAGCAAGGAGTTGTTTCTCTGTTTGATTGTAATACAGAGAAGTCTACATGTGTCACGCTTTAGCTTTTAAAAAATTATCCATTTTAATGCCTGTTATTGTGTCGATTAGCGACAGCATAAGTGAATAAAAATAAAAATTTTAACAACGGTTATTAACTATTAATAATATCATTATTAGCAACAATCATAACAATATCACTTACGGCTAACTCAATCTCTACTGCCATTAACAATATTAAGATTACAGTGAGTACACACGATCCGTCACACGCGTATACCTGCCTCTGGCGTTGATTAAAATTTAATTAATTTGAGAGAAACCACTGCTCCTCCCACGGTGTCGCATCCCCTCCACTTCTGTCTAAGTGGCCCTTTTCGAAGCTTATTATGTTAGAAGACAAGTGGTGAGCTATACGCTCGTACGTGGCTACCACTCGGGATATTGGAAATATGTTACAGGGAAATATGCAAGTTGTTTTAGGATTGTACGTTCAAGGGCATATCAATTTTAAGATTATAGATATAACATTAAACTATGTTTAGTTCGCAATATTGTATTAAAGACTATTTGTGAAGATCCTATTATAATATTAAAGGACGTAATATAAGACGTTAATAAAAAGTAAATATAGGAAAACAAAAGCAGTGCAGTAGGAAAAATATCTAAACTTTGATACGGATGGATCGGTAAACAAAGTCTCTTCATATTGATCTGATTAAGAACTAAAGAGGTTTCGAAACAGAATCACAAGAACTTCCCGCAGCATTGCATAAAGTAGCACAATACATACACAAGACAATAATGCCTGTACTCTCGCATTGTTTAGTGAAGTAGGAACTAACTATCTTTGAGCGAAAACTCCTTCTTAAAACAACCAACAACGTGGCATCGCGGGGCAACGATGTTCGCGCTCCGGTAAACAGATGTGTTGCGTATGGAAGCTTCATATTATACATGTATGGTGCCGGCCTGCTATAATTATAGCAAAAAATTCAGTCACTCCAGCTTCGTAGGAAATTGGCTGTGACAAACTATCGAACAAACATCCACAGAAGATTGTATAAGACGGTTATTAACGCGATCAAATTTCCGATAGTTAGGTTTTTCACCTACCTATATTTCCCGACGTTTCCCAGCAATTTCAATCGCGAAGATGGTTTCAAATTATCAACAACGTGGAATCCAGTGATTAAAAACTTTTCGCGGTTGCCGGACCACCAGAATACGGCTGCGATACAGAATAGGGATTCCGTTAGTGTTGTGTGTGGCGGTACCTGGAGAAAAAACTGGATGGTAGAAGTGAATTCCACTTCATAAGATGAGACGTAGCATCGCAGAAACAGTCAGTCCTTGACCACGGCCGGTGTAACCTAGTCGAAACATCGGGAAATATAGGTAGGTGAAAACCTAACTATCGGAAATTTGATCGCGTTAATACCCGTCTTATATAATCTAATATAATGCAACGCGAAAGTTTAAAAGTTTATATCCACAAATATCTTCTGTGGATATAAACTTTTTTAACGATATTGTTTTCACTTTCCGAAATTTCTGCTAAAAACTTTTCTCTCCACTGTTTTGATCTGCAAGTCTACTAGATGTAGCAGGCTCATCCATGATAACATAAAACAAAACCGAAAAAATATGCACAGGTCTCGACACGTACTCGCATAAACATTTTTGACTAGAAAATATTGGTATAGATTATGGCATATTAACTCAGATTTTGATTATTAAAATATTTTATTTACATTTAAACCCATTAGTTTATATTCAATGGAAAATAAATATTTTCATAATCAGAATATGTCTTGAGAGTAAACTATTAAGTTTGACAAGTGCTCTGTGAGATGTAGAGCATGCATTATTATTATTCATATATGTAATTTAAGAAAACAACTCTAACCTTCTAAAGATTTGGAAAAGTGTTTTAAATCAGAACTCTTAATTTTTAATATTAAATTTACGATTCTGATCTATTCAAAATGCAATCTTAAAAATGTGTAACATCAAACGTCGTTTACTCGCAATACGGAAATATCGGAAGTGAGTGGATGTAGCTCAGATGTGGCGCGGATGTAGCTCAGATGTGGCACGGATGTGGCGCGGATGCGAGCGGATGAGTGCGGGGCGCCGCTGATCACGAGCCGATGAGCACTCTTTTATACAACTACCGTCACATTTCACATCTTCGATATTGAATTTGTTTTTTAACCTGATCCTACTTAATCTTATGAATAGTTAAGGAGGATCAGGTTATAATAATAATAATAATTCCATTTATTACAAGCATTAACACTCATATACACAAATCAAAATTTAGTTTATACAAATAAATAAAATTGAAAATTAAAACATGCAATAAATTTTTAAATCAAAAATATAAACAAATAATAATAATAATAAGTAAATTCATTACAATTATCTAAAATACATTAAATCATCGTCATATCTAAATGCCGCGAAGATTAATTAAAGATCATATTAAAAAATTAAAAACAACATAAATAAAACATTAAATTAATACATTCTATAGAATCGCTCATAAATCACATATAATCATTTTACATGAGTCATAGATTGATAGTAAGATTTTATTATTGGTATTTCTGATTCTGTCTTAAGCGGCAGCCCTTTTTCTCATAATTGCAAAAAAAAAATCATCAACCCTATTGTCGAAGAACATGCCGGACGCGCTACACCGCCATGGCAGGTTCATCATTGCTCTGAAAGCGTTATTATGGAGAATATTGGATCGGTTTCCGAAAAATATTTTTATATGTTAATATACGAAGTCCTCGATTTTTAAGTACGAGTTTAGTTTACTAGTTGGGGATCGGGCGGGTGCAATGTCATTAATTTCAGCTTACATCTGCAATCATTAACACTCTTCAACCCATAACAGGTTTTTGTGGTGGTCACGCACGACTGTCGAATGGTACCAAGACAAGTGTAATATTAATTCAATTCAAAGTCAAAATAATCTTTATCCAAATAGTCTTCTTAAAAGTACTTTTGAATCATCCAACATTCTTTCTTTTCTTTCCTCTAATGGGAGTAACGACATTCACAAAACCATGTCATTAACAGATCAATATGCTATAAATATGATCTTATGATGATAACATATTAATTTGATAAAAGCAACAAGATAATTTTGAGATATAATGAGTGTAGAAGAAATAATCTGTCTGTTATTTATATTCTTATTTGTTATATAATCAGATACCTAATAATAAGCTTTTTTAATAAGTATTTTTAATAGTAGATTTAAACTGCATGATGTTTAATTGTTGTATTTTGCTTGGGACCTCATTGTAGACGCGCACACAAAGACCCCTGAATTAATTATTAACTTTTTGTAGTCTAGTAAAAGACACCGTAAATTTATTTTTATTTCTAGTATTAAAATTGTACA